TGTATATGTAAATGACCGACCAAATGATTATCATAATAACACTTGTGCATCTCTGTGGGTGCACGGCTGCACGCATGTGTTTGTGTGTGCGCGGGCGCTCGCGTCTGTGTTAAGGCATCTACCCAATTCACTAACCATAGTCCTTATCATCTTCCTTATTTATTGCATGATAGCTTAGGATCTGGATCCCTTCCCCATATATTTATACGAGTGCATGTTCTAGCATTGTAGGTCTATGTCTCACTAACCCCGAACATTTTTCTCTACAATTCTCATTATCTTACCATTTCCTTCATATGATTGATCACTTGTAGGCATGGAAGACAATAGGAAGTTTTCAACAATGTCGGAGACATGTACTTTGACTGGCCCTGAGAACTGAGCTTACATTGCTTATGACAAATCGCAACTTATAGAACGATGGAGCCTTGATATACAAGCAAGACATTTTCCTGCCACTTTTTTCGCTGCCAGTTCTTCTTTCACGCGTAGCTTCCCCAATGTTGAACTCCTTAGCCAAATCTAAAATTTTACTCATCAAAGTTCCCAATCCCGATACCCCATAGTGTTGGTTTCCCTATATACTAGATCATTGCCGCAGCATGTTACCGCGCCCATCTATTTGAAATTTGTCTTGATAGAGCTTTACAAACTTCTGTAGGACTGAAAGGAGTCACAAGAACGCGCGCACGTGTGTCAGTGTGTGTGCATGTGCTCTTGTCTAGGAGAGTGAAAGTGTTAGTGTGTCGCATGGTGAAGTAGAATACAGTTGTTCGAGTGCTTGCTGAAAGCTATGCATGACCTGAGGGTATAAAGCAGAAGGCTAGAAGAAAAATGCAAACACTAATACAAATTATAAAATGGTACTTACCTGAAGAAATAAAGTATAGCTGAGTTGGATCCAAGAAGATTAGATGGATAACAATAAAACCACATGATGTGACATATACAGATGAAGCAAAGTAGTAACATACTAATCAGCTCATAGAAAGAGGTCAGAGGTTTTTTTTCCGCAGGAAGAAAGAGGCCAGAGGTTAGTTTACCTTGGCATGTGTTGTGCAAATTACCTAAGTTTCCCATAAATTAAACTACCTCTAAGATTTGTATAAGCCTGACAAATTATCATGATTGATAAATATAAACACTATGCTAGCACATCAATATTATAATTTCTAATATGATATTGAAGCATCACCTTAGCAGGTTTGTTTTCGTGAAGGCAATTGTTAGTATGTGCTAGTTGGAGCTCTTCACTCAGACAAAACATATCTGATCCACATAATGGGCAATGCACTTTATAGGATGCCTCAGAGCTCCTAGAATCCATTTTATTCCATTCAACGAGAGATGCCCTATTGTTGTGATCACTGTATTCAGCAGATCATCCGTGCAACGGCTTATGATATCATTAAGCTGGGACCAATCTCAAAATTATCACAATCACGATCTTCAAAATGATGGGTTGGGTAATTGTGTGTGATTCCAAAAAAAACCAATACAAATGAATTCAACGAGTGATGTTGTCACTGTTTTAAATAGCCCGCTATAGCTCCACTATAGCACGCTATAGCATTTACAGAAGGTCTTGCGCTAAGAGACTTTGATCCAAACAAATGAACAAACATTTTAAATAACTCGTTATAGCATCGCTATAGCATTTAGGAAAGGTCCGCCGCTAAGAGGCTTAGCGCGCTATTTAAAACTATGGATGTTGTACACAATGTGCAATTAAACTTGATTTCTTCTTCCTACTATCAGATTTGGAAGTAGCAGCATCGTGTACGACAACTTTTTTCTCTTTAGAGGCGAAACAAAGGTACGAGCTCCTAATCCAGGCACCTGGAGTTCTTCGCGATCTGTAGCAAGTTGCGCCACCACGTTGGCACCGGGAAAGCTGACATGCCGTGGTGGGCACCGCCAATCAAGTTGAAGATTAGAACAGGAGCGTTGTGGCTTGAATGCCCGTGAGACAGAGGTAGAAGGAAGGTGAGGGAAATTGCTGCAAAAGGGTACGGTGGGCGCCGCCAATCAAATTGGAACGATGGAGGAGAGGTCGAGGAGCGGAGGATGCACCACGAGAAAGTGGGGCTGGATCACATCGATTGCCTTTGGTTGACTGAATAGATTTGCTGGTTGGGCCACGAGGGATGCTACACCTACATAAGGTTTGTAACGTGATGAACGTAATAGTTTAGGTGGCATATTCTAGTTGAAAGAAATTAGGTGAGGAGGGCCCACCCAGTTGAATTCAGGGGGTGGTGGATAGATTAGTTTGGAAAATTACCTAACAACTTTGTAAGAGATTCGTAGGTGCATAGGCCCAATCAACAGCCAAACACAAGTTTTTCCAGTCGAGTAGTGCCTTTCTAGGACAGTTGGCCCACTGGATGAGAGATGAAGTGCTAACGGTGACGAACGGCTAGAAATGATATATCACAATAAACGGATGGACACAAATGTAAAGGGCATGAGAGGGCTGGGATAAGTCTCAGCTTTACTGTCGCAAAATTAATACCTTCTTCCCGTGGACATTTCTCATATAATATATTTCATCTACACTCACTTTGCTTCTACTCAATTGCTCGTTGGCATGGAAGGCACATGGAAGCTTAGACTAACCTTGCAGACCAATGAAAACCATGCATGATGCGATGTCGTCGAGGTGCCAATCCAACATTGTCTCACACATGGGGTGTGGCATTTTAGTGGACATGGTGTGAGGGCGTGGCTAGACGAGACAGTTGACAATCTAACATTTTTCTCGCACATAACATTTAAAATCGTAGCACATGCGGTATGCATAGAGGAGATAATGCCATGAATTGATTGATCAATTTTTTATTAGCAATATGGCTTCCGAATGACGACATGGTCACCTAAGCTACTCATTCCTAGTTAGGCCATAAAGGCATCTGACGTGGAGAGCTACCAAACATGCCCTTATGACAGCTGAGGATATTTTATCCTCTAGTACTTTTGGTCTATATTGTGAGCCTGAACATTTTGTTGTACACTTTCACAAGCTTTTAGCCGTTTGATCACTTGTAGACATGAAATACATAGGGAAATCTACACATACATGTCTATTGAAGCATCATGTAACTAAAAGAGCAATTGTTTCCTTGCCATCTACATTTACTTAATGCTTCATGATACCTGAGGATCTTGATCCCTTCCCCGTATGTACTGAGTTCCTACTCTAGCATTGTTGGTCTATGCCATCATCCCAAGCATATTGCCATTCACCTTGTTGTTATTTGATTGCTTCAAGACATGGAAGACATTGTGAAGTTCTCAAAGACCTCAAACCTAATCATGACGACTCAAGCATGCCTATGAAGCATCGTTTCAGTACAAAAAACATTGTCTGCAATGTCATAATGTATAAAAACACGCTCACTTGACTACCACAAAGACAACAAAAGTTAAGATGATTCATTGAGTAGAAAAGGTGCGATTAAAAAATAAAATAACATTGTGTCGGAACAGATCCAATGTCACGGAAATAATTTATTCTTGAGCGCGAAACATAAATCTAACAGAAAACAACTGAGATTTAGGTAGAATGGCCGGCACGAAGCACAATAGCTTTTGAAAACGTTCGTAGGAAGGACTGTGTCACCATGGCACCGGATCTTTCATTTATCATCTTCGCAGATGGCTGCAACATGAACAAAAAAAAGTGTTCAAGAGACTAACACAATATAAAGAGAACAATATAATGTACTAGATGGTATGACGCAGTCTACCGCACCCTGGTGTAGCTGCATCCATACATGGGAATGAAATTTATGTGAGCTTGGTCACATAGTTTTTGTTGGTCACGCCCTGATAGATACCATTTTTAAAAAATCTTTTTTCTTTTGCTGGAGGACTGTATACCCCTGAAAATTACACGAGATGTCTTTTGCTATAATTAAGAAAGATTATACCAAGCAACCAGTGGTTGAATGGTTAGGAGGGTGGTTGTATCACCGACTCACCAGGAATCAAACCCTAGGTTTGACACTTGTGTGTCTCATAAAGGCAAAATATTGTTTCAGTGAGAAGTGACGTTTCTATCAATAGTGAGGTGTCTCTGGTGTACATCAATCTCAAGACATGTTGGCTCAGTCTCTCGAATGTGCTCATATGGGTAGAGTGTGGATACGCGAGTGTGTATATATGTACGTTTATGTGTGTGTCTTATTTTGTACTACGTTTTGAGAAAAAGAGCAACAACCATGGGGGAGAACCCACACACCATAGACAAAGGAAAGGGACGGTTCAACCTCACCGAATAAACCATGCTGGGAAACCCACGACCCGACAGCTAGGCCCACCGGACAGAGGCAGTAGCCTAACCAACCTGACAGTGAGTGCCACAAGGCCAGCAGCGGTGCCAGCAATAAAAAGTTGTGCGTTCAAGTGCACGAATCTCCCTGAAGTATCTTTCTTTGTTGCACAAATATGAATAAAACTAAGCTTGCAATAAAAAAAAGAACCACCCCTGTACAAGACAACAACTCAACAGGGTCCAGCAACAGCTAATCTTAAACTACAGTCACCAGCAAAATAAAAATAAACTGCAGTCAACACTATTGGTTTCTCCTGGTTTTAACGGAACAGATAATTTATTTTTATGTGGTAGAGTTATGCATATATAAAACAGAGACGATAAGCACCATGATTTTCAGGGTAGGATCCTCATTAATAGTTTATGACTTCATGCCTGAATGGTTATTCATCAACAGCATTTCATCGGGTAATAACGACATACTCATATTTTCCATACATAACTAATAAAGATGAACGAAACATCTCAAAATCTTAAAATGCGGTTCCAAATTAAATCATCAAGACATCCTTTTGCGTAGGTCAGTTTACTTCCTCATCCTCTCCAATTCCAAAATACATTTGCGCGAACAAAAACAAAAAAAGGCGCACAGTAGCTAGATTTGTGCCATCGTAGTCAGTTACCCACATCCAAAAGCAGCAAGCAGAGTGCACGAACCCTAGGATCATCTATCCCGTACGTACGTAACCAGGAGGAAAACAAAATAAAATCGGATGGACGTGGCGAGAGATTGGGCGGGCGAGGAATTAAGGAACTTACTGGGCTTGGGCTGCTTTCCGTCGGACCACTTGGAGCGGGAGTAGTGGACCTTCTCGACCTCGGCGGCCTCGGACTTGTAGGGCTCCTTGAGGCAGCTCCGCACCATGGACGCGCAGAGCCTGGAGTAGCCGATGTAGGTCATCCCCGCCGTTCGCCAGAACGGCACCGCCCCCGTCGTGGCCGACATCGTCCTCGCCTTTCCTCTGCTCGATCGAGCCGCCGACGCCGATCTAGACGAGAGAGGAGAATGGACAGATCGATCAGTGGACACCTACGTACTCATCAGTCTTCACGGTTATATATAGAAAAAATGCAAACCGATCAGTGATTCCGGTCAGAGGGCGGGCTGCATGCGCATGCACGGATCGCACTGCAATTACGGATCGGATTAATTCCACCTCCTTTTTTTTGCGAGAGGAACGAACTCCTTCACGAGAACTTGGATCGACGACCGTGTCTTGCGTTCCGCCAGAACACTGTTAAACGCGGTTAACGAACGAACGTGCACCTCGGATCCAACAAACTAACGTATTCTTTTTCCTTTTCCTCTCAGAAAAAAGAAAAGAAAAAGGCAGCGACCAATGCAAAAGAAAGAATAAAAAGTGATGCAAAAATGAACTCATCAAAGGTAGGGGCGTAGGGCTGCAAACGAATCGAGTTCGAGCGAGTTGCACTAGGCTCACTTCGACTTGTACTAAAATTTGAGCGAGGTCAAACTGAGTGAATCTCAAGGTCGAGATGTATAAAGTGACTCATGCTCGGCTTGTATCGATCTCGAGTTGTTCTCGAGCTAGTTTTGATCTTAATTAATAATCTAAGGCAACTTTTCAAACAAGATAGGCCACTACACAACATAAAAGGCCACTATCCCGCAAAAAAAACATAAACACTATAAAATTTAACTTATTCTCTTTCAACTGAGAATAATACTTAATAGCAAGAGACACTAGTAGAAAAAGGTCCTAATATGAGACACATTAGTGCCGGTTTGGTTTTGAGCCGGCACTAATGTGTCCAATAGTGCCGGTTCCAACGGCTAGCCGGCCATTCTCATTAGTACCGGTTCGTGGCAAATCTATAGTACCAGTTCGTGCCACGAACCGGTACTAAAGAGGGTGGTGGCAGGGTGTTGTCAGTCTGGGGCCCGTCCAGCACCTTTAGTACCGGTTCGTGGCACGAACCGGTACTAAAGGTCAACGTACATAAACCCTTCGTCCCCCAGAGCCACTCTGTTCTTCCCCTTTCCCCTCACTTCCTCTGTTCTTCCCCCTCTCTCCTCGAGCTCCTCACAAATTTTGCCCAAAATTTGTCAAGATTTGAAGGCCCCCATCCATTCAAATGATCACAAAGGTTAGCAACTTTGTCCTTTCAACTCTCATTGCTAGATTAGCTCTTGCAATGCTTTGTATAGTGATTAATTTGGGAGGAATAATTATATTTGCTAGTATTTGATTTATATGCAATTTGAGCACAAAAATAACACTTAGTTTGCATATGTAGGTGTGGTTTACTTAGTGCCTTCTAAATCTCCGTCGTAACCACCGCCGATCGTCCGCACCGTCCCGTCGCCGGCACCACCTTCTGGTGAGGCTCTTGTTCATGAATGTTTTACATTACTAAATTGATGTTTATGTGATTTGGATATATAGTTACTCATATAATTATCTTACCCGTACGTTGTTTGTTATACATAGTGCCATGGTTTTGATATCCGTCCCCGTCGGCCCTCGTCCTTGTTATGATTCGGATGTGGTATATTCTCTTTTAAAACTAGTTGTTGCATTTCGTGTTTATGACAAATTATGCCCATCAAGTTGACATAGATATTTTTATCTAGGAGGTATGTGAACCGGAAATTCCAACCGACCCTATTGTCGAGAGGTTAAATTTAGTTGAAAGAGAAAACGAGTATTTGAAAGAAAAATTGAAAAGAGTTGAGAGGGAGAAGATGGAATTGGAGTTGCATGTTGCCGATGTCGTCGATGATCACAAGATCAAGATGGAGAAAATGAGGTTGAAGATTAGAAAGATTAGAAAATATGCCATTGATAGTGTGGCTTGGTATCATTATGCTGTTGGATCAATTGTTACCTTAATTGCGATCTTCATCGCATTTGTTGTTGCATTTAAATTCTTTAGCTAGAGAGTTATTTGTATGTTGCATTTAATTAAGTGTTGTATATGAACTTTGTGTATGAACTTTATGTATGAACTTGTATTAATTTGGTCTATTCGGTGTTGTGTAATGAAGATGAGCTGACAATGGATGTATAATGACAGATGCTCTCCCGAGTTTATTAATGGCATGCATACTTTTCTGCTTGCCGCTGACGCAAACAAGCGGGCAGATGGTTTTATGCCTTGTCCATGTGCTGGCTGTAAGAATGGTCACAGTTACTCTACGTCAAGAACCATTCACGTCCACCTATTTGAGTCCGGTTTCACGCCCCACTATAATGTTTGGACCAAGCACGGAGAAATAGGGGTTATGATGGAAGACAATGAAGAAGAAGAGGACGACGACGGCTATCCTGGCCATGGGTTCCCTGAATACGATGATACAACAATGGGGGAAGAAGCTGAGCCGGCAATGCAGAAAGAAGCTGAAGAAGAGGCATCAGATGAGCCCGCTGATGATCTAGGTCGGGCCATTGCCGATGCAAAGAGAAACTGCGCAAGTGATCTGGAGAGGACGAAGTTGCAGCGCATGTTAGAGGATCACAAGAAATTGTTGTACCCGAATTGCGAAGCTGACAAAAAAAAGTTGGGCACCACACTTGAATTGCTGCAATGGAAGGCAGAGAATGGTGTATCTGACAAGGAATTTGGAAAGTTGCTGGTAATGATAAAGAATATGCTTCCAAAGGACAACGAATTGCCTGAGAGTACGTATGAAGCAAAGAAGGTTGTTTGCCCTCTAGAGTTAGAGGTGCAAAAGATACATGCATGCCCTAATGACTGCATCCTCTACCGCGGTGAGTACGAGGATTTGAATGCTTGCCCGGTATGCGGTGCATTGTGTTATAAGATTAGTCGCGATGATCCTGGTCATGTCGAGGGTGAGAGCCCCAGGAAGAAGATTCCTGCCAAGGTGATGTGGTATGCTCCTATAATACCACGGTTGAAACGTTTGTTCCAAAACAAAGAGCATGCGAAGGCGATGCAGTGGCACGCAGAAGACCGTAAGAAAGACGGAAAGTTGAGAGTACCCGCTGACGGTTCGCAGTGGAGAAAAATCGAGAGAAAGTACTGGGAGGAGTTTGCAGGTGACCCAAGGAACATATGGTTTTGTCTAAGCGTAGATGGCATTAATCCTTTTGGGGAGCAGAGCAGCAACCATAGCACGTGGCCTGTGACTCTATGTTTGTATAACCTTCCTCCTTGGTTGTGCATGAAGCGGAAGTTCATTATGATGCTAGTGCTCATCCAAGGCCCTAAGAAACCCGGCAACGACATTGATGTGTACCTAAGGCCATTAGTTGAAGAACTCTTGCAACTGTGGAATGGAACAGGTGTACGTGCGTGGGATGAGCACATGGGGGAAGAATTTGACCTAAAGGCGTTGCTGTTCGTGACCATCAATGATTGGCCTGCTCTCAGTAACCTTTAAGGATAGACAAACAAGGGATACCGTGGATGCACGCACTGTTTGGATGATACCGGTAGTATATATTTGAATAGTTGTAAGAAGAATGTGTACCTGGGACATCGTCGATTTCTTCCGAGCAGGCATCCCGTAAGAAAGAAAGGCAAGCATTTCAAAGGTGAGGCGGATCACCGGACGAAGCCTCGCCACCGTACTGGTGCTGATGTACATGATATGGTCAAGGATTTGAAGGTAATCTTTGGAAAGGGTCCTGGCAAACAACTTGTTCCGAAGGACGCTGACGGACGCGCACCCATGTGGAAGAAGAAATCTATATTTTGGGACCTGCCATATTGGAAAGACCTAGAGGTCCGCTCCGCAATCGACGTGATGCACGTGACAAAGAATCTTTGCGTGACCCTGCTTGGCTTTTTGGGCGTGTATGGGAAGACAGAAGATACACCAGAGGCACGGGAGGACCAGCAACGTATGCACGAAAAAGACGACATACATCAGGGTCAGGCCAGCTACGCTCTTACCAAAGAAGAGAAGGAAATCTTCTTCGAATGCCTGCTCAGCATGAAGGTACCGTCTGGCTTCTCGTCGAATATAAAGGGAATAATAAATATGGCAGAGAAAAAATTCCAGAACCTAAAGTCTCATGACTGCCACGTGATTATGACGCAACTCCTTCCGGTTGCATTGAGGGGGCTTCTACTGAAAAATATTCGATTGGCCATTGTGAAGCTATGTGCATTCCTCAATGCAATCTCTCAGAAGGTAATCGATCCAGAAATCATACCAAGATTACAGAATGATTTGGTGCAATGTCTTGTCAGTTTCGAGTTGGTGTTCCCAACCATCCTTCTTCAACATCATGACGCACGTCCTAGTTCACCTTTGCGAAGAGATTAATGTTTTGGGTCCTGTATTTCTACACAATATGTTCCCCTTTGAAAGGTTCATGGAAGTCTTGAAGAAATATGTTCATAACCGTGCTAGGCCAGAAGGAAGCATCTTGAAGGGCCATGAAAATGAGGAGGTCATTGAGTTCTGTATTGACTTTATTCCTGACCTTAAACCGATTGGTGTTCCTGAATCGCGGCATAAGGGCAGACTCGAAGGAAAAGGCACGCAAGGAGGGCATCAAATAGTATGTATGGACGGGCATTCTCTCACTGAAGCGCACTACACAGTTTTACAGAATTCCGCCTTGGTGGCTCCGTATATGGAGGAACACAAGAATTTTCTACAGTCCAAACACCCGGAGAAGTCTGACGACTGGATTACACGCGAACAAACGAGGACTTTCGCTGGTTGGTTGCAGAAACGTGCCCTGAATGATGGCGATATTCAAAATGACATGTACTCGCTGTCCCAGTTACCATCTTCGAATATAATGACTTTCAAAGGGTACCAGATAAATGGGAATACATTTTACACGATCGCCCAAGATAAGAAAAGCACCAACCAAAACAGTGGTGTCCGCTTTGATGCAACAACCAACACGGGAAATGAAACATATTCTGGTTACATAAAGGACATATGGGAATTTAACTATGGATCAGGTGATTTGAAGGTCCCTTTGTTTCGGTGCAAAT